GTGAATTGACTATTGCTTCAATCTCGCAGAAAAGTGTTGTCAATTCAGTCGTAGTCAGAAGTTTTTTGCCAATGCATCTTTTCAGTGCTGTTTTGGTCACTCCAACAAGTCTTTCCCAAGCTCCTCCTTCTCTTGGATTGCGTGGTGTAATGAATTTCCACTCTGTGCCTCTGAATTTGATGAAGTCTTGTAGTTCCTTTGAAGAGTATAAGTCCCAATTCATCTTCTTGATTATTTTTGAGCCAAGAGTGAAGTTCGTCGCGTTGTCCGAGACCATTATTGAAGGTGTTCCACGTCTTGCAATGAAACGACGATAGGCCTGAAGGAAAGTTTCTGCTGATGCATCGGTTGCCAATTCCAAGTGTATTGCCCTAATTGTGAGACATGTGAAGAGTGCACCATAAACCTTTTCTGTCGTTGTTTGTCCTTTCACATTCATAGGGCCAAAGTAATCCACGCCACAATGTAAAAACGGTCGTGCGACATTTATTCTGTATCGTGGTAAGTTGTCGAAGTCGCGTAGTGAATAAGGACGTAGTTTGAATTTCCGGCACATCAGACATCCAAATTTATTTGAGTAAATTGTATTTTCTATTGTTCTTCGTCCACGTTGTATCCAATAAGTTTGCCGGAGAACCGCAAGAAGTGTCGAGCTGCCGCAGTGTTTATTTTCGATATGAAGATCCAAGATCAGTAGTTTTGTAACCCATGATTCTCTGGGCAGGAAGATTGGACTCTTTGTTTCTGCCTTCAATTCTGATTCATCCAGTCTTCCCTTGCAGCGCCAAATTCCATCCAAAGTTTTGTACATCTTCAGACTTGAAATCACGTCTTTTGTAGGAGGATGTCGGGCCTGTGTTGTTTTGATCAAATATCTTTCAGATTCTTTTAAATCCTTCATTTTTATTTCATTTTGCACTATTTCACTTTCCTCGGGATGGATTATTTTCTTCATTTTCTTTATAAATTTGAAGACGTAGGCCAATGTTGAAATTAATTTCTTGTACTTCGAGAATCTTAGTACGTCAATGATGCCTTCTGGAATTTGCTCTTCTATCACTGCTTGGATTTCAATGCCATTTTCCTCTTCATTATCTAATTCTTGGCCAGGCTTGTATATTACCAAAGGAGTAGGCCAATTTTCTTCTGCATTTTGTAACCATTTTGGACCTTGAAACCAGAGTTCATTGTCAATTAACTCCTGTGGTGTTGTTCCACGTGAACACAAGTCAGCAGGATTGTTTTCTGTTGTTACATGTTTGACAGGGCAAAGATCTCGAATTTTGGCCAGTCTGTTGTTGACGAAACGGTCGTATTTTCCAAATTTTTTCAGCCTTTCTATGTTGCACTGAGAATCGCTCCATAAAGTAATTGAATTTGCTTTTATCATTAATTCTTTTTGTAAATATCTGATGATTTTTGAGCCGAGAGTCAGAGCTTGAAGCTCTAGCTTTGGGATTGTTGAAGCATTAATTGGTAGAGAAGCTGGCTTAACTAGACTTTTAGCAAATATTAATTTCGTTGTGCCTCCATTTATTGCATTGAATGTTCGTAGATAAACTGCTGCCCCAAATCCTTGACCACTGGCATCGGTAAAGCAATGAAGTTCCTTCTTTGTATCATTTTTAATTAATCTAGGAACAATTATTTCGCTTGTTGTTGACCAAAGTTCCATTAATTTCAACCATTCTTCAGATAATTTGTCGTCTAGGGGAGCATCCCATTTGTAATTTGCTTCGAAAACACGTTGTAAAATAAATTTTGCCTGAAGAACAATTGGAGATACAAGTCCTAGTGGATCATAGACTTTGGCAATGGTAGAAAGTAATGTTCTTTTAGTTGGTTTTCCATTAAATTTGGCCAATTTGAGTATTATTGTATCATTTTCTCTAGTCCAAGGAATGCCAAGTATTTTAACATTGTTTTGATCAGTTGCTAAATTTTCTGCTGGAAAGCCTTTGATTTCATTTGGTAATAATCCAGAGAATTCGCGCAATGTCATTCCACCAGATTGAAATATTTCAATGGATTCCAGACACATTTGTTTAGCATTTTCTCCTTCCTTTACTTGGATCATTATGTTGTCCACATAGAGATTTTCTTCAATTGTACGTGCCACTGGTGAATCAAATAGGCTAAGATGCTCTCGAATTGTAGCATTGAGCAAAAATGGTGAAACAGTAAGTCCAAAACTGACACGACAGAAGCGGTAGACGACGCATTGAGCATATTGGAAGTTTTCTAAAGAAATATTTTTGGGATCGTTTACCCACAGAAATCGAGTGCAATCTCGGTCAGTTTCTCTGACGCCAAGTTGCAAAAATGCTTTCTCAATGTCTGCCAATATTACTCGATCCATTAGTCGAAAGCGAAGTAAAATTCCAACAAGTTGTTTAAGCAAAAGTGGTCCAGTGTGTAGACAATTATTTAATGAAGGAGCACTTCGTTGACTTGGTGGACGGGCACTAGCATCCATAACAATTCGCAATTTTGTTGTGTTTTTGTCTTCGCGAACAACAGCTCGATGAGGAAGGTAATGCACTGGTCCAGTCGATTCGTTGGGGTTTTTTACAACTTCAATTACCCCTTTGGCAAGTTGATCTTCTAGAATTGCTTGGTATTGATCAATTGCATTTATTTGTCGAAGCTTCTTTAGTGTGCTGGCCAATCGCATTTTCGCATGTCGATAATTTGTTGGCAGAGCATGTATTTGACTGTTGAATGGAAGAGAAATTTGGTATCGGCCATCAACAAAAGTTAAATTCTTCTTGAAGTTTTGCATGACCTCATCTTTGTCTTCGGGAAGCATTGTATCATCCATTCCAATAGAGTGTAGGCCAAAGAAAGTTGCCAGGTTTTCATTAGCTTCGCGGTCGTTGATTGTCAAGTTGTCTTCTTCTATTGAGTTTTTCTGGTCCAATGTAGTGTTGACTAATATATTCTCTTCATTTGAAATTTTCTTCTGTTCGGTTGAATGAGTGCATGTGCCAGCTGCAGGCCATTCAGTTTTGGTAGGCCAATCATTATTTTCATTAACATTAGTAAAACAAGCAATGCAAGGCCTTTCTTCTGTAATTACCACGTTTACTTGAACAGAAGCTGCGTAGATTGTGTGCGTTGCAAATCCTTCGTCCATCTGGCCGGCTCCACTTAGAATTTTTCCTAGCTTCGAGTCGCTAATTGTGAAGCCACTTGGTAGTTTTTTAAGTTGTTGAATGTTGAGTTCGTGCCACAAATCCACTCCAAGTAAAATATCCGGTTGCTTGCAGGAGCTTGGTGTAATTTTTTCACGTTGTAGATCAATTGGATCAATTTCACGCACATTGAAGCAGGGCAAGGGATTAACCAAAAAGCCCAATTTATTCAAAACAACGCTCAATTTCTGTCCATCGGCACAATATATGTTGAGTCGCACCAAGTCGCTGTCATAGGTTTTAGAGCATCTGTCTCCGAAACTGGTTAAATGGCATTTTTCTTTGGAGACGATTGGTAGTTGCAGTTTGTTGGCCAATTTTGCCGATATAAAGGAGCGTTGACTTCCAGCATCCAAGAAAATAAGAGCCTCTTCTTTTTGTTGTGGACGTTTAGGATTGCAAACAATTGCTGGCAAAGTCATCAGCACAGATTTCGAGCCTTCTTCTTTTACAGCGTTTGCTTGCTCAGGTTGCCGATTATTCATTGTGTTTTGATTTCCAGACTTGGAAGGTTGAACATTTTCCTGCCTTTGGGCATATCGATTCTGCATCTTTGAAAAGCATAGAGCAGATGGGTGCATCCTTTTGCAGTGGAAGCACATAGAAGGTTTTGGACAGTTGAAACTTGTGTGTACCTTTCGCAGGCATCTGGTACACAATTTCTTCTCTTTGGCTCTCGTTAGTCTCTCTTGCGGAGTACTGTATTTGACACATCTGTCATTGAAATGTTGTTCGTCACAGAACGCACATTTCCAATTCATTTGAGGTTGTCTGTCCATATTTTGATTTGTTGCCGAAATTCTCTGCCTTCTTGATGAGCTTCTTTTGATTGGATTCGGCTTTATTTGTTGCCCCTGTGCTAAAGTTGCGTAAGTAAAATCTTGCCTCTGGTTTTGATTTGGTGCCGATCTTCTTTGAAATTGATTGCCCCTTTGATTTGGTTGAAAGCTCATTCGATTGGGTCGTCTCGGCACTTCTCTCTCATATTCATTCATGACTTCTTGAATTGCCATTTCTTTTTGGATTGCTTCTCGTAAAGCTTCTCTGAATTGAGTAGTTGACCAGTTGTTGCCTTCGGACCTTTTGGACAATATGGTCCTTAGGAAGGGCTTGTTGAGCTTCTTTTCCAAGGCCAGATAAACGGATGGTCCCTCGATATCCTCTCCTGAATTTTGCAGCTCGCGGGCCAGTCGTTCCAGTTCGATGCTGAACCTCCGAACATCTCCCAGTGTTACACATGCCTTGAGATTTGTTAGACGTGTGTGCAGGCTTCTAATGTAGGCGTCTTTGTCTCCATAGTTGTCTTTAAGCATTTGTAGAGCTTCTTTGTAACTCTTTGCCTCGAGCCTGAATCCAGCAATTAATTCCTTTGCTTCACCATCAACTAAGTTGCGCAGCAAGGTAAGTTTTTCCACGTCCGAGCCATTTCCAGAGTCCACTGCGCACTTGAATGATTCATAGAATTCTACCCAGTCCTTTCGAGCTCCATTGAAGGGTTTGATCTGTAGAGTCGGCAATTGATAGACCGATGAAATAGTAGTTGCTGCTGTTTGAGGCGGTCCACTTGATTGAGCTGAAGTCGACTGAATCTTCTGGGAATATTTTATTTCTTCCTCTTTTAATTCTTTGTCGCTTTTTGCCATAGCGACCTTTGCTTTGATTGAGACATCATCCTTGAAGTCTTTTAGTTGTCGGAGCATAGTATCAATTGCCTCCATTGATGCTTCCAATTTGTGTGTCTTCTGGAAGGCTTCATATTCGTCATTTGCCCCTGGGCGTTCATCAGAGGGTATTTTGCGCAGAAGGTCAGTCCATGATGAGAGAGATAATCTGATGTCTTCTATATTCGCTTCTGCTTTGTTTATTTCTTCTTCTAATCGCTTTAATTGCGCTTCTAATTTGATCGCCTTTATTTGGTTTGAATCGCCTTCTTTGATATTGTCAACCCATTCTTCTTTTGCCTTTATTTTTGCTAATGCTCTGATTGCATTAACAATTGTTGTTTTGATTGGTGATGCCATTATTATTTCAGAAAATTGCCTTTAGGACTTCACAAATAAATTAAAGGACCCTTGGATGACTGCCGAAGATGAGAACCTTATTTGATTCTCTCGAGGTGATATTGACTCAATTAGTTGTTCCGAGACAAGTAATTGAACAATATAAATTTTGAACTAAGTCGGAGTATAGAAACCCGATTAGTTCTCGAATAAAATTTAAATTTTATTAATAAATCTTCCCCACACCTTTGATCCGAGTTGATCCGATTTGGTGTAGATTTGAACGTCTGCTGCACAAGTTTGCTTCGCACTTTTTGTTGTTGTTCACGGACGATGAACACTTTAGTTGATTCGGCAGATGAGTTGAACACTGATGAGTCCAACAAATTTAAAATTAATTGTAGTTGTTGTTGAGTCCTGGTTTCTTGTTGCTGAGCCCCCACTTAATGTTGTAACCAACCAAGGAGGAATTCAAAATAATTTAAAGAATAAATTCAAAATTTATTTAAAATATTTATTTCAATTTAAATTTAAATTAACAATTGCTGTGAAAGGTAGAAGGCTTTTATTTGAAGAAGATGTTTTTGAAGAATGAACTGGAGAAGACAATATTTTGGGGGTTTGGGGAGGGGCTTATAAAGGGTTCCATCGGCCCTGGTTTTTTGGCCGATGGCAAAGAAATTAATAGAAAAATGGAGTAAAAAATGATGAAATGATAGGCTGTGCAAACAAAGATAAGAAAAGTTTGGCTGGATAGAAAATTCCAGCAAAACTTTAAAGAAGAAAAAATTAATTTTAAAATTAGAGAAAAGGGAGAGAGGGGTGAAAAGATAATAAAGCAAACAAACGAGATGGGTAAATTTGCCCACACAAACTTCAGTCGCGGGAATGCACGTGAATGAAGTTTGTGTGGCGCATTCCTTTTTTAGTTTTTTATTTAATCCTTTGCCTCTCTTCTTTTGCAAATTTTTATTTTATTTTATTTTTTATTTAATTTTTTCCTTCTTTTATTATTTTGCAAAATCAGCCCATCTTCAGTCGGGCTGCAACATCACAGGAAATTGGAGGGTTGATTTTTCAGAGAATTTTGAGGAAGCTGAGTAGTGTGAGCAACTTTCAATGTATTATTAAATCTAAATATCAATTAATTTCGTCACTAACGAGCAAAAACGTCCTTATATTTTATTATGTTTATCTTGTGTTAAATAGAATATTTGTGCAATCATTTTAAAATTTCGGTAGATGGGTCATATTTTTTTGGATGCCGCATCTTATGCTGGCAAAAAATAAAATAAATTGACTGAATATTGTGTGCATATTTGCTATAATACAGATAAGTTGAATTAGATATATAACCAAGTGTTAAGTTTATCAAAACTTGCCAATAAAAACACATAAAAATCGCGCGGTCTTTACACGAAAAACATAATGGGAATCTAGAAGAGAGAATTCAGTGTAAAGTCTCTCAACTTTTTGAATGTTTTTTTCTGGCGCAAGGCTTATAATTATTGTATACGATGTTCATGCTGTAGAAAAATTGTTTAGATGGGAGATGGAATTGAACCATCACGGAAAGTGCCCAGACCAACCCGATGCTGGGTTATTTATTTTCATTTATATTCATTCTGCAAGTGCTGACACAACAATAATTGTTTTTTTTGCCTTTGCTTTTATTTATAAAGTTTGAGGAAAATAAATGATTGACAGCAAAAAAGAAAACTAATCTGATTCACTAATAGGGAGGGGAGGGGTGTGTGGTATATTAACAAAGTACCTGAACTCGACACAGATACGCGAGTATTCTTCAGCGATCACGAATTATAAGAATAAATCAACCAGCATTGCTGGCTTCCAAAAAATTAAACGGTATTAGAAAAGAACGCGATTAACTGAATAAACGTTTACATTAATATTCGTTTATATTTCGAAAAATTTTTAGCTTGCAATTTTGAGTATAATTTGACATATTTAGATTTAATTAAACGTTTCATAGTAGTCCATTTGTAGATCTTTGCTTTCGAAAAATGTGCTCATAACGGAGACAGACGCACTAACGGAGACAGACGCCTTTTGCTTCTATACATATAACAAATCACTAATTTGATTAATTACCATCTAAATAGCTAGCAAACAAAAATAACGTCGAAGGCCAAAAAGAGTAAAAATACTCAATTTGTTGAACAATACTTATAAACTGGGAGTAATCTTAAAAAAGGTGTTGAATGTTTTTAACTAAAAAATGTAAAATTTCCAGGTATAAATAATATTTTTTGCATATTTGCTTGCATATTTCGGCTTGCTTCCATATTTTCGTGCATATTTTGATATTTTTTCATGCATATTACATAGCATATTTTGCATTTTTAATGCTTAAAATTCCTAGCTTTATTGATATATTTATATAATATAAATACAAAATTTATATTATTTTGTTTTATATGCATTCAAAATATTTCAATTTTAGGATACACATATTAAATTCGAAGACATCATGAGCTTTAGAGATGGCGAATGTTTATGCCAACCCATTGTAGATCTTTGCTTTCGAAAAATGTGCTCATATGAGAACAATTATAAAGCAGTAGAAATGGAACATACAAGGTCGTATATTAATGACAAATCAATTAGTCAAATTAATTGGAATCTAAATAATTTGACGTTAATATTCTCGCCAATATATATAAATGGAAACCATTATGCATTGTGTGTAGCAATGTTGGAGGAAAAAAAATAAAATTGATGGATTCGTTGGCTATGGACAATGAAAATTGCCGAAAATATTCCGAAGCAAAAAAACAATTATGATTGTGTAGTATTACAGACGATGGTTATTCAAGTTTTTTCTCAATAAGAATTAATGATTTTAATGGAAAATGCTTAAATTGAAATTAATCGTAGACTAGACTTAAATTTTTTGAGTAACTATTTTCGCACTAATGTAGTCAAGTAGAAACGATAAATGATAAGCGTGAGAAAGCAGTTAGTGGCGCTAACAAGTTTAATGTTTTCCTATAAAATATGTAGAATTTTGCTCTTTAAATTTTTTAATCTTCTTCAATCACTTCAATAAAAACTTTTTAATAAAACTTTATTGTTTTACATTTATTTGGAAGAAAATTATTTATTTTAAATTTATTTTTCGGAATTATTGAATTAATTTCAAATTATTATTACTTCAAATATTTAAATTAATCTAAATAATTGTAAGGAAGAGGAAGAGAGAATAGATCCTGCTGGTGAGCATTTAAAACGCTCACTAGGAGGGGGTTTAAGATCTAATAAAAGAGAAGGTGAAAGCAGCGTTCCGGTAGCCCAGTTGGTATCCGGGTAAATTTAGCCGGCCTCCCGAAATTATTCTAAACGGACTAAAACCGGACCGGATGAATCCAGAAAGATCAGGCCGGATCCGGTCAGGTATGAGCGAGAAAACCAAAATCCGGTTTACGGGTCTTATCTAATTATAATAAATAAAACATGTCACCTAGGAATTGTTAAGGAAGGAGTAATATAGAAAAGATATGAAATACGTAACCCGAATTTGTGAATTCATTATTTTTTGTCGGCATATAATGCGACTTCCAAAAATAATAAACGTACCCCCAATAGAAAACAGTTTATCACAAAAATAATTTAATTTAAAAACGAAAAAATGAAATAAAGTATATGGAAAGGCTCATATCTCGAATGTTTAATGATCCGCAATTTTGATCTAAAAATCCGCAAAAAATTATTAAACACAAAATTTTTCGAGCCAATGCTTTCACAGTACATGTGGAATTGCGCAAGCCAAAATTCTTCCTTTTTCAACGCGCAGGCGAAAATTTGAGAATACGGGAAGGCTAGAAGAACTAATTAGTAGAAGATTAACCAGCATTGCTGGCTTCCAAAAAATTACACGAACTCTGCAGGAACATATTTAACTTTACATATACACATTTCCACTAATATTCATTCTTATTTCAAAAAATTTTTAGCTTGCAATTTTTAGTATATTCTAACTATTTTTTAGATTTAATTCGGTTTCATAGTATCTGATCGAAATATGTAGAGATATATGTACTTTTGTCAAATCTATTAGAAAATCTGCCTCAATATAAATAATACTTATAGCAAGAATTATGACTCAAAAAATTTTCTCTGACTGTAATAAATTAACCGACACTGCCGGCTTCCAAAAATATACGATGGAAACAAAGACTGTCTTCAAAAAACTTAACATAGATTCTTTCTAATAAAAGTTTTTATTGAAATAATTAATATCTTGAAATCCTTAAACTACGTTCAAATAAAAATCGGGTCTTACGACAGAGAAGATAATTTAAACGAGAAGAGATAATTAAAAGAGTAAATGATCGATAAGATAATTAAGATTTCTATTTGACATGGGTTCTATTAGAAAATTTACCTATGACAATTTGCTGCAAGGATAATTTAACTAGCAGTAGTTAAAAACTTAAAAATTGTTGGGAATTCATCCGAGATAAGGGAGATTCCTCCGTAAATGTTAAACTTTTTGCCAATTAAGTTTATAACGGACACGAAACCGGCGGCACGAATTGTCCCAGTCCGAATATTTTAACACTTTAATAAATTTATTGTCGATTAAAACGACATCCAAAAATAATTCTTCTGCAACAATAAACTTCAGAGCTTTATATTTAACTATTTTTTAAGGCAAATCAAATGAGATAAATAATAGTGTTTAACCGGACCGGAACCGGATCCAATTTGAGCTCCGGTTCCCGGAACCGGACCTTTTCTAAGTTCCGGCCCGGAACTGGACCGGAACTTTAAAAAATTTTACAAGCAAATTTTTAAAAATTTGTATTTTAGGTTGGGTTGTCGGTTTCATCAATTTCTTTGGTTAACCGAACAGAACCGAAAATTTGTCGGCGATTAAGTGATATATATGGATTAGAGAGTGTTGTATAAACGGATTTGTCGGATATACGTATTTGATATCAGGATATATAAAGGTTCGGAATTGTAAGGGGGATTTTAGGGATATTAGTGGAATAAGGATGGATATATTTTTATGGGGATAAG